CCGTCTCGCCCCCCCCAGCCTCGCTTCGCAGCAGGCAGGGCTCAGCGCAGGCGTCCTCACGGCCCTGCCTAGCCCCGGGAGCAGGGCAGGAGGCGGGCAGCACCGATCCACGCCCAGCCCGGAGCAGCTCAGCACTGTCATGAGTTTCAACGGCCTCAGCCCAGCACAGGCGGAGGGGACATGCATTCCCCTGCAAGCACAGGGGCTGCAGCGGCAGGGCGCAGGGGGCGGGGGGGGGGGCGGCCAAACCCCGGCCCCCAGGCTCCTGGCGGTGCCGGATGCGGCCCGGCTGGCCAACGCGCCGTAATCGAAAAAATGTGTGTGGGCTTTGGGGAGAGGCTGCGCTGGGAAACAGGGCCCTGCGGAGACCGGGGGGCTGTATCCTGTCCAAAAGCCCAGGTCCCACATGAAGCCAGGCATGCGAACGCGATCCAAACCACAGCTGGATTTGAACCGAATCTCCCAGCATCTGGGCTAATTTGCTGCAACTTTGATTGATCGTGGGGAGGGGGCACAGGCGGGAGACGCTCCAGCTCAGACCTCCCAACAGAGCCAATGACTTAACCAGAGCTGGTTCCAATCTGCTCAGCACATTGAGGCGAAAATGCCCCTTTCCCTGTGCGCTCCCGTTCGCCGGCGCTGGCTCTGCCCACGGTCCCGCAGCCCGGCTGGCCCCGTCCCTCGGGGCTGAGCATGTGCTGCAGGTCCCCGGGGAGTCCCGGGCAGGTTTTGGGCTCTCTGGGTGCAGGATGCGGCCACAGAAGCCGCGTCAGGCCTTCTCGGGCTGGGGCTCACCTCGGGGTCCCTCCAGAAGGCAGAGCGGGGCAGGAGGGGGGATATTAATGCATCCGACCGCCCTCCACCTGCCCCAAATTCCTACAGGCACCAACCCATCCTTCTGCTCCTGGGAGAGGCTGGGAATGGGAAAGGAGCTGCAAATGAGGGTGGAAAAGGCGAAGGTTTTTCCATTCCCCCCCCCCCCCCCCCCCCCCCCCCCCCCCCCTCCGTCAGCCCTGTCTCCGACCAAAACCTCGGTCGCTGCCCTGAGGGCTCGGCGTCACTCAGCAGGTAGCTGGGGCAGCCCGGGGTCCTGGCCGGCCCCAGGGGAGGCAGCTGTCTGGGAGCTGCTCACTGCCATGATTAACACAGCACAGCCCCATAAATTACCGGGACGGAGCCCGCGGGAGCCATCGCTCACAGCGACGTCCAGAGCTCGCTGCCAGAACCTGAAACACTTCCAGCCGTTAATTGAAGAGGGGAAAAAAAAAAAAGGGGGGGGGGGGGGAATTAGGGGCCGGGGATTAAACCACGGCTCTGTAACGAGGAGTCGCCCGCGTCCCGCTCTCAGGATCCCGATGCTCCCTGTGGGCACGAGCCCAGGATGGGGAGCGGGGAGGGGGATTTCTGAGCCGGTGCCTGGGATGCGCCCACCGCAGGGTCCCCATCGGCAGTGCCGCCCCATCCTGGTCCCCATGGGGGTGTCCCCTTAGTGAGCTTGGGCACCCTGGATCCGAGGGGAATCCGAAGATGAGTTCCAGCCAAGTGATGCTGAGCCGGGAAGGGCCACGGCTACCACCGCCATGCACCCTCCCTGCCAGCACCCATCTTCTTTTCTCCCAAATTCAGGGCTGGCCAAACCCTGTCCCGGGGGCTGGGGACGGTGGCCGGGCCAGCGCCGCGAGGGTCCTGCAATGCTGGCAAGCGCTGCGGGACCCCCACAGCGCTGGCTCGGCCACCGTCCCCAGCCCCTTGGACCCCACGCCGGCTACC